CCGGAAATCCCTGATTTCACAGAACAGCTTGACACAGAATCAAGTTCAATAATAGCGACTACTGGGCTTTGGCGCTCTTGCGGATCATTTTCTGGGATAACGAGATGTATTGATCTTCCCTCATCATGCTCGGCGTTAATCGGTAACACCACTAATGTATGTAACAAAATGATGGCAGCACGAGTATTCGTCACTATTGCTTGTATTATATCAGGGATTTCCGGTATATGTTTCTTCGCATGTACACTAGAAATTATCAATAAGAATCAGATGGCAATTAGCATAAGTAAGATTCTTGCAGTTAGTTCCGTTATAATAGGTGTTATTGGTCTTGCAGTTGGTATTGCTTTTTCTACTTATACTGGTATATTACCGATAAAGGCGTCGGTGAGTGTAGCAGCGATATTAGCCATAGTTGCTGTTGTCATAAATATGTTTCTTTGCTGCTGTTTTGGCAATGGGTATTCGTTGAACATTCAAGACATTATTCAATGTGCATCCGAGGTTTAATCTAGAGCACTCTTCCTTAACTTTTCATTTGTATATCATTTTGATTTTACTGTCTCATTTTTGATTAACTTATTATATGAATAAAATGCATCTAAAAAATAATTCATATCTCTGTGAATGTATACCACATATTTATATCAGATATTAATTAGAGTGTGTTATGTGATGACAGATGTAAGAGGGTGGAGTGTGGGTAAGCAATAGTAAACAAGCAACATTTACTGTACCCATCCACACCTATACCCACACCCCTTTGAAGTTTTTTCAGATTTAATTTTTTTTTCTTCGTGTTTTCTTCTAATTTTTTGAAATTTTTTCTTAGTAGTTTTTTTTCACCCTGTGATTGTTTTTATCTTCTTGGTTGTTTAGTTTTTTTAAAGATGTTTATGAGTCACAATAAAGATACTAATACAATGAAAATCTTATTTATGTCTTTCTTTACAAAAATTGCGGTGCAGTGATGCAATAACTGCGATCACACTGTAATCCATAATTGATAAAAACTGTGACACAAACAAGTACAACTGTGATTTTTTTACCGTACATACGCGTAATTATGTCAGAGTTTTTTGCAATTACGGGACACACTACGATTGCAGGATGATTTTAATCGAACATATAGGTGGTGACATATCATTTCATCATTGCATCACAATAATAAAATGCAAAGGCATGATAAATCTAATGAAGCTGTTTCGATTATAGTAAGAAAAATTAATGGACTTTTAAAAAACACAAGATTAGGATCAATTTGCTGCTGTTCATTTGATTGAAATAACCAATGAATTAAGACGTACAGATAAAACAAATATTGATGCATTCAAATATAATTCACCACTCAAGTAAGATATATAAATACACTTATTATCTTAATTACTTCCAAACTAAATTTTCAGTCCTACAGGATGATATTCGATGGGATTTAATTGTCTTTATCCTTTTTGAGGATTAAAATAATGATGAAAAAAGAGGGAGCAATACTCTTGAGAGATATGTTAGCAGGGCTGCCAACTCCTAATTTTCAAATGGGGTACAGAAGATTTAAAATGGGGTACAGTTGGGATACAATTTTTTTTTAAATGAGGTACACCATTGGGGAACCTCATTTTCTTCTGAAACAGAGTTGTGGTAGGCGAGAAACAGACAAAAAAGGGTCTTTTGAGAAAACAGCATTACGTTAAAAACGATTCCACTGTAGAAAGAAGTACACTTTTCTTTAGTTTCAGTTTCGACGATGCGTTAACGAGTAGCTTGCTTGGAGTGTCGGTGGATAATATAGTTCTTCCGTTAGGAGTCGAGAGATCTGCTTTAGAAAAAGAACAATGTCAAAGATATTGCTTACGAGAGAACCTCCTCGAGTGCTCTCTTCCAATTTGAATGATTTTTTGCCTATAGATACTACATAGTGTGCTAGTGAAAGCCCTTAACAGCTTTTGGTTCCTATTGAGATTTAGCAAAGCTATTGGATTTTTAATGTCTAATTATTTCGGACCCTAGGTCTCAGGAAAAGTTGTATTTTTGAATTTCGACCTGAAACTTTATCCATTTAGAGATCTCAAGTAGACTAGCTTCCATAAAAACATTCAGAAATTGTGAACAAAGTCTCTTCAAGATGTTCAATTTTCTGGATATAAGGTCTTTTCCATAAATAGAATATACAATATACATTTTTTGAAAGTCTTGTATCTGGACGTAACTCTGGTCAAAACCTTCTGTATTTTTATTATGAAAGCTAGTCTACTGGAGATCTTTAAATGGATAAAGTTTCGGATGAAAATTCGAAAATATAACTTTTCCTGAGACCTAGGGTCCTAAATGATTAGATATATTAAAAATCTAATAGCTTTGCTAAATCTTAATAGGAATCGAAATTCTTTTAGGATTTTTACTAGCACACTATGTAGTATCTACATACAAAAAATCATCGAAATGGAAAGAGAACAGCTGGGGAGCTTCCCTCGTTACCTTTACATTTTGGACGAAACAGTACATATTAGGGGCACTTGAAAGAATATACTCAAGAAAAAAAAAACCGTGGTGGGATGTGCCAAAGTGATTTTTTTAAGAAGTTGAAAAGTGTACTTGTCACTTTTTAAAAGTATAAGATACAGAATTCATTTTCATTCTACATTATTATTCGATAAGAAAAAAGACTTGCTGAGAAAGAGTGTATTTCCTCAAAATAGAGATTGTGACGGGTTCGCTGTCCCTCTTATCGTCACATTTTCTGTGACACTTGCAGTTGATTTTTTCAATAGATTTACAGGATGTTTCAGGAACTGTTATCGTTCCTGATTCTGACTCTTCATAAATTTGAATCTCACCTTTTTTGCCAGAATCCCAATGAATATTGATATTATTTCTCATTCAGTAGAAACTTAAATCTAATTTAGTTTTTAAAATACTATGTGTCAGTTGTATCTGATAAAAACAATAAAAGAAAGACAAAAAGTGGAAGAGTCGTCAAAATTTAATTTGGATTTTGGGATTGAAATCAATCTCGCGAAACAGAAAAGGTTAAGAGAAAACTAAATAAATAAAATGTTTGATAATTTGCCTTTCTCAACTATTTATCAATATTATCCTATGCAAATATCTCTAGAAAGATGATGTAAGGTGTATCGAAAATATAGTTGATTTTGATTCAAAGACTTGTTTATAGAAATAAAAGCTCAAATATCTAAATGGGGTACA